AAAAAGCCACCTCTCTCTCTCTCTCTCTCTCTCTCTCTCTCTCTCTCTCTCTCTCTCTCTCTCCACTTGTGCTTCAAATAAGCACTCAAAACCTAATTTCCGATTTAATCACAGTTTGGTCCTCAAACTCTTAACAAAATGGAAAAATCACCTAAAAAATAATAAAAGGTAATAAAAATAAGGCAATATACATTTGCATCATCATCATCATCATGTATTGATCTTCAACATGTCTCCAAGGACTCCTCATGTATTTAATCAGTAAATGTGATTATCAGATTTGTTAGTAATGAAACAAATGGCGATGCCAAAGAGCGACAAGTTCAAGCAAACGCATTATTATATAAATACGAAAAAAAAAAACAACACTTTTCTGCCTGCATTATTAGGAGCATCAGATTACAAGCTCAAAGCCTAAGCTATCAAATACACACATATCACTCGCCAAAATCCAAGCTTTTCTCCCCTTGTTATATAATACATGTCCACTTTGATCATACCACCGATAATGAATCGAACAAAATCATAGAAAATATAGATTGAATTTCCCAATTTCAAAGGGAAAAAGAGCTGATACACAGTAAATACTATAAAATCATTGTCATGTATGAATTTCATGTTATTAATTCTCAATTAATTAATATTCATATTAATATAGACGCAACGAATCTTGATCTACATAAATATAGAGTTATTATAGATAAATTTATTTCTATTAATATATCTATAAATTTTAATGGGCATTTATATTCATGTATTAGCACTTAATTTTTATGTACCAAATATACTATAAAAAGGTTGGTCATTTGTAATATTTATCATCACAAAAAATTGAAATCATAGAAGTTGAATTTTGAGACTTCAAATTTTTTTCTTAAATTTCAATACTGAATTTTATTTTCATCAATTCATTTGAGAATCATCAAGTCCTCCCAATAAATTGGTATCAAATATTACTTTTACAGAATTTATAAAGTATTTGAGAATAATGTGCAATGCACGTTTAACTAGTTTGTATAAAAATGGACAAAGAAAATATTTTATACTCCAGAAAAACTGTGCCCCTATTTGGTGGCTATTAATTTGAGAAAATGGAGTTTTGAATAGTGATTTTTTGGAAAATGTGTGTTTAAAAAGTAGGAAAAAGTTTCGTTTATGTGTAAAATATTTTACTGTGTAAATATGTCGTTGAAAATGAGTATGAGAATTAAAAAGTTTTGTTCATTAAAGTGAATTTTTTTTTTTTACAATTGGTTATGAAATTTGTTACCATTGCTAAAAAGTTTGCTCGAAAACTTTTTTGCACCATTTTTTCATCAAAATTTAGTGTTCGTTTGGTTTCGTTTTACATTACAATTTTTCATTAAAGTGAAATTTTTTTTA